ACACACACACACACACACACACACACACACACACACACACACACACAGACTTTCCAGGCTAGAATCATACAGAACCCTGGCCAGACTGTGATTAAATCCACCAGTGTCAGAGAAAACTGGTACTAGAAAGTAAAATATCATCTTTGACCCATTCACTCTATAAATTCCTCTTGTGGGTGTCATGCAGAAGTCTAACAGCCCAGCTCAAAAAAGAAAAAAAAACTAATTTTTCTTTCCACTATCTTCAGTTCCTTCAATTAAAATCACAGATGTCTGAAGACTGTCACATGGAAAGAAAAAAGACATTTTATGTGAACACTGTAGGCTTAGCTTTAGGAAGGGGCTAAAAATGTATAGAGGCAGTTTGGTATGAGGAAGATCTTTCTCCAGGTGAAGACAGTCCAAAAATGGAATATGCTGTCCCCTAAAGGGACTTGTAAAGAGAATCAACATTGCCTCCTCTGTGACTATGAAGAAAATACTATATACAGCCCTATCGTAGATGAGAGAATAGGTAGGTCTGAGTAATTTGGTGAAGCTCATATGGTAACTGACAGAGCTAAGATCTGAAACGGAATGTATTCCTAGTTCCTGGATATGTTCAAATGAAAACTGGATAACTTCTCATGAAGTTGTTGTAAGCAGGATTCAGGATATTGGTGGGGAATTGGATTAAATAGCTTCTAAATTTCTGCTAACTCTGAGATTCCATGAATCTCAATGTAAAACTGAGCCTTTCTTTGCTCAAAAAAAGACATTCCTCCATTCTCAATTTGGTGTTCAATTAATAACATTGTACCTGAATATTAATGGGCTATAAAAATTCCAAAGCTGAGAACAACAAACAGTAAGTATCGCCACCTTCTAAAGAGGAGTTATCAGTTATTTCCCAAAGAATCTGCTAAAAAGTGTCTAGACCTGTCCTGAAACCATCCACTTCCAGCCTCCATCAGGGAAATATAAAAGTTCAAAAGGAATTCAACAGAAGAAATCTTGGGAGAAGATAGAGTTCTCACATCACTACAAAATGGGAGTACTACAAAAGACTGGGGGTGTCTGCCAGATTTTGCTCCCAAGCTGGTGAGTTTTGCTAACTTCAGAAATTTACAAGCCCATTTCTGTGCAGTCACTATGGTGAGAGTTTTGAGGTGAACCAGACATCTCTCTCCAGAAGTGTGGAGCCTTGAGGCATATTCATGAAGATGTTTACCCTCTTCTGGCCAGAAGAATTCTGAATTAGAGAAGCTGACTGACATACTCCATAACAAGAGAAGGGGTAAGGGCAAGGATGGAGTAGTCCACTACCTGTGTTTGACATGAGCCAAGGGAAAGGTGCAAAGGCAGATTGTCCAGGACTGTCTTGAAAGGACCTACTCAATAAGGCCACCTGCCAGGGTGCAGAGACCTAGTAACAAGAGGCTGGAAGAGTGGACTTCAGGAGGCAGTGACCAAGGGGGGAATCTTGAGTCCACAGGTGCGTACAGGACTAGTTTATTACACTTGTCATTCTGGATCATTCCCTTTTCTCTGCAAGTCCGAGACTGTGATCTCTAAACCTATGTTGTACCTTTTTCTTTCAAACACTGGCATCAAGCAGCAAATGCAATAAAAGGACCGTGGGTTTTGGAGTCACCCACTTGCTTTTAAATTCCAGGCCAGCCACTTAGTAGCTAGTGATTTTACCATGTTTCTTAGTTTCTTTGATCTTTGTTTTTTCTCATCTGAGAAACAAGGATAATGAACCCTAGTTCTCAAGGTTGTATGGATAGGAGATAATATGGAACATGTTGAACAACTGTTATTTTCTTGCCCTATAGCATCTCCATTACATAACAGTGGAAGTAACTTATTTCATAAGGATCACTAGCTAGCCACTGCTTAGTAGTTACTTTTCATTGACTGCTTTGATAGGTAACCAATGTTCCTAAACTTCAATACTATAAATGTGAGGTGTTCTCAGGAATGTGACATTCTCAATGCCATCGAGAGCTCCCACTCACCCTCCCCCAGTTGCCTTCTTCATATTCTCTGTATGTGTATAATAGTCTGGGCCTTGTGAGGGTCTGGTTACCATCCCCCTTAGTGGGTCCACAAAATGTTGCATAATCTGGCTGCTGCCTACTTTTCCAACTTCAACTCTTACTGCTCTGCCCTGAACACACTCTGCTGATCTGGTTCCTTTATTTATTTTTTTCTTTCTTTTCAAACATGTCAACATTCTTTCCCACCTCAAAGCCTTTATATTCCCCCTTGGCTTTCAGCTCCAAGACCACTTCCACAAAGAGGCCTTCCATGCCATCCCATTAAAAGTAATCTCCTGTACCTCTAATCCAGTAACCATCATATCACTCTGTTTATTTCCTTCCTGGGACAACACAGCCTGTGGTTTTATTCTGTCACTTGTTTAAAGCTCACCTCCCTCCACAAGGTTTCAGGGACCTTGTCAATCTTGTCCACAGTTAGGGTGCCAGCTCCTACAATAGGAGCACACATGGTGAACACTCCATGAGTGTGTGCTGGATGATGAGTGCTAGGATCATTCTGCCACAGCCTTACAGAGCCTCAACCGTCTGTGTCCTACCCTATGTGACAGCTCACCTGAGCCATTGCTGATTGGGTCGGGTGGAGAAAAAGGGGCTGTCACAGATTAGCCAGTGACCTAGGGTTTATGGGAGCTGGCCTGGAAAGATTATCTGGATCAATCCAATTCCTCTCTTAGGAATTAGGGAATTAAGAGACTGAGCCAGTAATCCAAAGGAATGGAAACCAAAATCTGTCACATGGAACCAACCAGACCCATGATGGTAGAGTGCTAACTTAGTACATGAGTGGAGAGGGGCAGGAATGTCATGGAAGGGGATCCAAACACCTCCACAGAGGCTGCCTCAGCTCCTAGCACCTTTCCACTTTCCAGTTCCACTCTCCTGAGGCCCACCCATAGCATATTCCC